ATGTACATATATTTTTTTTTTCTTCAAAGTTACATTAACAGTGACCCTAAGCTCATATCCAAGGAAGAGCAATGTTCACCAACACTGGGTCTTAGGGGCCTGTCTTGATAATTACTACTGTTTACATCTCCAGAATTAGGACTATTAGGCCTACATTTTGGGGTCATCCAGCCAAAGGATGGTACAGCTGCTCCTCCAAGCCTTGGGGCTGCTTCAGGGATTGAGGGTGTTCATGGAGGAACAAGGAAGGAGAGGTTGAAGGTTTGTGTACTTCCAGCCCTGGTGCCTCCATAGCAGCCCCAGTTTTCTGTGGTGGGCTATATATTGTGTTGTATATATAAGTTAATTTTTTATTTTCCTCATGTGCAAAAAAATAGTAACAATGCCTACTTTAGAGGGGCGAAGATGAAATTAGAATGTCCTACATACACAAAGGGCTGAGCCCAGTGCCTCGCACAAGCTGAGCATGCAGTAAACATCTGCTATTTTATTATTTTAGCTTTTACTTTGAGAAAGGACTCCACTGTTAAAATATGAATTTCAAAATCAATTTTTTGGTCATCTTTGAAATAAGGCAATAAATTCAGAGTTGAATCTTACTTCCTGTTTCTCAATCCAACAGTTGTTCTTCCACATTCTCAAACTCCAGTCCAATTTAGTGGATATTGGTCTGGGCTCTAGGAGTAATGTGTCCTCCCACACACCAGGTGGCTCTACTTAGCCACTGAAGGTGATCAGACCAAGGCCACTCTATCCACATTTGCACTGATTTCTAGAAGAAATGCAGCTGTCAAAGGTTTTGCAAGACCTGCTGGAAAAAAATTCCTGCAGGACTGACCATGAGAACTGAATGTGAAATTTGTAAAATCTTATAAATATTACCTAAGTGTCATCTTTTCTATAATGAAGAGGATACTTGAAGGGAGTTCAGAAAGAAACATGTATATTTTATAAGCCTGGCTAAATTTTCAAGTCTTGGCTGGACTTTTTTTTTTTTTCTTTAAAAACAGGAAGGATTCATCCAACAAACATGCTCTTATCAGCCCTGTTTTTAGGAAGTTTTCGAGTTTTACTAATGAATCACAGGCATGAGGCAGGAGGGAGACAATATTAAGCATTTTCTTTTCACTGGTCTAACATGAGATCCAAAACTAAAGTAGGAGCAAAACCTCCCCAACTCTATCTTTTCTCCCCGGGAACTCCTTCCATGCCAGTTACTGCTGATGCCTGGGAGCCAGACATGGGTTTAAGGAGGGGCTGCTCTGTGTCAGAGCCATTCGGGGTCTGTGGTAGACTTAGGAACAAGCAGACATGAAAACTGTAGAATTAAAGGCTGAAAACAGCATTTAATGAAACCCCTCCCTCCAGACGCCCTTGATCAAAGTCTACCCTTGCACTAAGACAATCGATCTACAGTTGCATACATAAAATTTTGGCAACACTCTGTCCTCATTGCTTTCAACAGAGGCTTTAGACCCCTGAGTCTGGGCATCGTCCCAGAACTGAGATCCAGTCACATTACGCATACCAGAAGACACGCACCACAGCCGAGGCAGAGCAACCACTTTCTTTTAACCTCACGTCTGTGAGAAATTACTTTCCAACAAAATAAGTGAAACCCGATGTCTTCTCTGGGTGGTTATTTTTGCGCCTATGAAGTCAATAAAACTCTGCAGATTTATTAGACAGCCCTGCTGTGGAAGACAAGACCACTTCCTATTCCCTAGTGGAAATATGTGTCTTTCCTTTCTGTAACCTTCTGACCACAGATTTCAATTTTATTTTTCTCCGAGAACTTTTCAGAACTCTCAGAGATAAGTGGCTTGGCTAGCACTACAATTCCAATCTTCTGCCTCCAAAAGTGAGAAAGCAAACTTATTTCAGGCTCCCTGAGCCTTTCTTCTTCACTGCCTATTGTAGGGAGGCCCTCTTCTTTCCACTGGAAGCAGCAAGGATTCTGCTTCCACCACTCTAAACCCTAAGATGACAGCTACCAGCCAACCAAACTCCTGCCAGTGATAGTGACAGTGATACACAGCTTTTGTTCTGTCCAGTGCAACTGTGTTTGTGTTTGTGGAGCTCCCACTCTGCCAGTGTTCTACAGTGTGGAAATGCAAAGATACAGTGGACAGCATGTGTTCTTTCAAGGATCTTAGCATCTCCTAGAGGGAAGGAACATGTCAACAATTAAAAGTCATTACGTGTGACAGATCCAGAAAGAACAGAGTCTTGTGGACCATGTGCCAACCTTGGTCAGCTATGAGCTGGAGAACATTGCTGACACAGCTCCTGGTGCAGGCATTCTGAACACTGCTTATAAAGAGGGCCCTACCAGCTCTAGCTTGACTAGCTGCAGTGTTGATATCCTCCTAAAATGCCAGGTTATTTCCATTTAACTGCTATCCTCCTTTGATGCTGACTTCCAGTTCACCCATGGCAAATCCAGTGGCACTGAGGTGGAAGGAATGAAAAGCTACCCAGCTGAACTTTCTGATAATGCAAGCAGTGGGACAATAACAAAGCAGATGAATGAGCCTCTAGAAAAAAAAATCAGAAATAATTACACAGATAACTAAAGAGATGATGACTGTAATGAAGGGCATGGTTAGTAAATCTAGAGTAAATACAGATGAAAAATTAGAAGGGATTAGGAAAGTGATGGAAACTATGAATGTCCAACAGAGGAAAGAATTGAATTCCGTAAAACAGATTCAAACAGATACCTAGGAGATTAAAAATTCTATTTAAAGTATACACAGCGGAATGAGTCAATGTAAAGATAGAATATCATATCTAGAAATGGGTTTGCAGTTACCAATTGTCAAATGAAAGACTTCTTAAAAATAGCCAGGGACCATGAAAAATCAATCCAACAGTTACTAGATGATGCACCAAAAAAACCATAGCATTAGTACCAATGAAAAGCCAGATGATAGCACATAGGATATAAAAAACCTGTTCACACAAGTAATAGCAGAACACTTCCCAAGCATGAAAAAAGAATCTGATATACAGATAAGTGAGGTATATAGAACTCTAATTAGCCATGATCATAGAAAAATTATACCAAAGTTAATAATAGCCAAGATTCCAGAAATTCAAAACAGAATAGTAAAAAGCTTTGTGAGAAAAGAAATAAATCACTTGTAAAAGAAAATCCCCCCAAATCACACCAAACTCCTCAACATAACCCTTAAGTCAAGGAGAGCTTGGAGTGATGTTTTTCAAACCCTAAAAGAATACAACCTCCAACCCAGATTGGGGTATTGATACCCTGCAAAATTAGCTTTCAAAATTGATGGTGATAAATAACACCTGCAGAAAATCATACCCACCAAACCAGCATTTCAAAAAGTTCTGAAAGATATTCTACAAAAAGACAGTAAAGTAAACAATTCCACAAATCCCAGTAGAATGAATCTACCAGGCAAGGCAAGCATTAAATAGAAGGGAAAGAAAGGGAACCAATAACAGAAAAATAATATAAGTGTAAGTGAATACATATCAGTTATAGTCATCAGTGTAAATGGTTTCAATTCACCAATCAAAAGAAACAGATTGTCAGAATGGATTAAGAGACAATTCAACAATATGTTGCATACAAGAAACACATTTAACTAAAAAGAAATTCATAGACCGAAAGTTAAAGAATGAAAAATAATACTCCATGCGATAGGAACCCGGAAAAAACCAGTGGTAGCCATTCTGTTTGAGAACAAAGTGGATTTCAAGGCAAGACTGATAAGAAGAGACAAAGGGGGTCATTACATCCTTGTCAAGAGAACAATCCAAGAGGAAGAGATAACAATCAGAAATATATATGCACCAAATACCAGCACACCACCCAACTATATAAAACAAACATTAATGGGCATGAAAAATCAGATAAGCACTAATATAATTGTAATGGAGGACCACATTGTCACAAATAAGTCAACTAGACAAAAAATCAGCAAAGAAATGCCAGAGCTAAACAAAACCTTTGAAGAAACAGACTTAGTAGATATTCAGAGAGTACTGCACTCCACAACAACAGAATAGCTATTCTTCTCACATGGGACTTTCTCCAAAATGGGCCACCTACTAGCTCATAGAACATGCTTAAGTAGATGCAAAGGAATTGAAATTATCCTGTATATATTATCAAATCATAGTGCAGTGAAATTGGAAATGAATGGCAAAAGAAACCACAAAAACTCCATAAACACATGGAAATAAAATAATATCCCCCTGAACAACCAATGGATCGCAGATTAAATTAAAGAAGAAATTAGACAGTTTCTACAATTAAACAATAATGCCACTATGACATATCAGAACATTGGGACATAATGAAAACAGCCCTATGAAGGAAATTTATATTAAATCAGAAAAACAGAGCAAGCTCATATAAATAACCAAATGTTGAACCTCAAC